CTTATTTTGTCGAGATATGGGCTTGTCAGCTCGGCTCTTTTCTTCTTAGGCTCCTCGTCTCAAACTCGACTCCGTGGGCTTTATGCCACGAGCTTTATACTTGTCTCCGGTATCAGTCTCATGTTGCCAAACTCGCCACTTCGCCACAAGTTTAAACTTTGGCCTCGTTTTAATTGCAAGCTCGAGCCCACATAGCGTTGTTATGGACTTGGGCTCGGCTCGCCATGCCTCATCACAGTTTGAGTTCGGGTCACCAAGCCAATACCTTGAGATCGAGTTTCTTATTTCGAGTTCGGGCTCATCTCCAGCTTATCGTATCATAATGTGCTCAAGCTCGTTGAGCTTGCTGCTTTGTTCTGAGCTTGCTCCTTCGTTCTAAGCCCGAGCTCGCTACTTTATTCTAAGCCCAGACTCGTTACTTCGTTCTGAACTAAGATCGCTGTCCCATTATGGGCCCAACCCATCTACTATCGAGTTCGATCCAACTTTGACACTTAGTCATTCTCGCTACTAATTTCAGTGGGGGTGAAACATGCCCCAACAATTAACCCCTCAACTTGGCAGAATCAGATATGATGATGTCGAGGTGAAAATAACCAAGACTGAGTTCAATGTTCTATGTTGGGTATTTACCGAGCTGACAAGTTGTAGAGCTTGTTTATGATGATTTTGTCGACCTCGTTTTGTAATCTTAGCCGAGCTCGTTTCGAATAAAAATTGCTTGTTTGGAGATATTTTAGATCTCATGGGATATCGCCTTCCCAATCTCGAGTGATTGTGTTTACCCGAGCTCCAGTGATTGCGTTCAACCGACCCTAGCTCGAATGACTGTGTTTAATTGAGCTTGCTCATGTTTTGCCGAGCTCATTTTGTTGATTTTTTTCCGAGCTCATGTGATCATGTTACCGAGCTCGTATGATCATGTTTATCGAGCTTATATGATCATGTATACCAAGCTCATATGATCGCATCTTACCGAGCTCGTTTATTAAACTTGGACTTGTCCTTTGTGTCGAAGGTTGAGGTCGAAAATTTCGTGTACTTAGACAAAAAGGTATTGAACTTTAACAAATATTAAATTCTCCAAACTAAACTCTAATATAAAATAGCTAATTCAAATATAAATAATATTTTGAATAAATGATATAATTTTAGTGGTATTTTTGAAAAGAATTTTAAAATGTGATATTTTTTGAAAAATGGTATTTTAAAAATGGCATTTTCTTACAATTTCTCATAAATATATATGGCTAAGATTAGGGC